AACTATAGTTTTTTGAAAATTAGAATCGCTTCTACAACAAACCAAAAAATCTATCGAAATAATCGAAATCGTACAGCGTGGATATAATTTTAAACGGGGCCGAGAAATTAGTGATGTTACCATGTTATTTTTTAACCTCGGTCGGTCGGTTTGACCAGCAGCAGCGTTTTCACGAGTGCTAACTAAAAAACGGCAGTAGTCGTTTACTATGTGAGCGGAAACCGTACGGAATCAACAAACGGTAGTGGCAGGATGATGGGCTAGCAGGAGTCGCTTCACCTTATCTCTTCCGAGATCGTGACGGTCTACCATAGGTGTTGTTAACGAAATCGGTGGGTACGATTAAATCGGTCGACACGTTGTTGTGTTGCAGTGGGTTGAGAGCCGAGTGGTCCGCCGTAATACAGGTTAAGGGTATCGCGACGAACGGCAATAGTTGGAAGCGCTCGAGTTAATAACCCGGTCCGATCGGCCGTCGGATAAGATCGCGTACAATTACTTGCGATCGGACACGTATGTTCGGCTATTAACGTGCGCGTGATACGAATTTCTAAACACGTCGTTACGTCAACAACAATTAATATGCATCTTTTACGTGTTTCAATTCGCTAAACCGACCCGTCGGTTGTACGTCATTCGTCGACACGGTTTGACACTGTTGGATTCCACGCGGATGCGGTGAAAGGTGTAACAGTAATGCACATGATCGCAAGCGATCGAGCCTCTTGGACACCGTCTTGGACTGTCGTTGATTTGTTTACGATAGATTACATAGTGACATTGGTCCGTTTTCGTTATAATCATACCCGTTGTACTTTTAATCGTCGAGAGAAATTAATTTTCGATATAAATTTCTTAAAATAAAATAAATTAAAATATCAGTTATAATAGATACAATACGATCGACGTCGTTTTCCCTGCCCTTGCCCTAAGAATTTGCTGCTATTATATTACCATAAAAACTGAGTACCTTGTCGCTTCTCCATACGTACACGATGCGTATTGTATCGTATTGTAACTATGCCCTAAACCTATTTTTTTTTTTATCTATAATGGTCAAGAGTATTTTACCGGGTTAGTCGCGATGATGATGATGACGATAACGTTAAGAGCACGTCGTACCCGCGTGTGTTATCTCCGTCATTTTAATTTTTATATGAGTTATGAAAAATATTAATATTTGAAAATGCTCATAATTCACTTAAAAATTATAATATCATAAAAAACCGACGAGAGAACACAGATAATTTTCTTATCGAAAAGTTTGATAATAGGTTAGTTCACTCTAATATCAAAACTAAAAGCACACCATTGAAATTGGTGAACGAAAATTTACCATATCGCACGTGTGCTAGACGGGGACAATACATGCGGGTGTGGTGTCCTCTTAAGAAACGATATTTATACACTTCGCCACTTCGGTAAACGTATAAAAACGACATTTGTAGAAAAGCAGCAATGTATTGTTATAAAAATATAAACGTTTGATTTTCGTCGCCAAATCGGTATGACCTGTTCTAATCAGTTATAAATTATATTGACTTTTAAGCAATTAGCAGTAATCCTATTCGATGTATTTTGGAACACTAAAATTTATATACCTATATATATATCTCCGAATTTTCTATGTTCGTCTAATCATGTGATAATAATACACGATTTATCCTATCGTCGTTATTGGTTGTTAAAAATCAGAAGAATATTTTCGCATTAAACGTAATCGTTGAAAACCATATCTAATCGAAATGAAATCCGTTCGGTTTATATAACTCATGTTAAGAAGGTTTCCAAGACAATTGATAAAATTTACAGAATGTAAGTTTGCTTTCTTTTAAGAAGTTATTTTATAAAACTGATTTTGTTGTGATTTTGAAAAAAAAATGAAAACATTTTCTTATTTGATAGATTTGATAACATTATTTGAACAATATTTAACCTTGATATAATATAACATATATATTTATTACATGGGTTGACCACGTTTATGTTTTATTTATATGGAATACAAAACTCATTCTAAATCATTTAACACTCAAATACTGAATTGTACAATTCATTTTTCAGGGTATATCATTCAACTGGAAAATTATAATAATAGAAGAGATGAGTTTTAATTTTGATGAATAATACACAAGACATTAATTCTTTTTGGCTCCATTGCACGCGTAGTGTTTGTTTAGACAATTTTTAAGCCAATAGAAAAACCTGCCGCAAAACTTTTATTGATAATCTTGATGTGGGTATATTCGAACAGGTCATTCATGGAGTGTACACATTATCTAAACATTTTAACGTGGGTATATGAGCTACATACCGTCCATTGTATAAAAGTATCTTTATAATAACCATTTAAACTATTTGCTCGAATTAGATTTCAGAATTTTTTTTTTATCATAACAGGGATAGTTGCATAGGTAAGACTACTGTAGGGATTCTTATCTAAACTGCATTGTATAAGGTTTTCATTATACTTAAAATTGTTATTGGTTTTCTCGTTTTAAAATTAAAACTCTCGGAACCATTCAACGTTTTGGTATCAGAAATTAAATCAAACTATTAAATACAGTATTAGAGTTTTAAACAGACTGCCTTCAGGTTTTTGTCTACATTTATCATGAACACTGCTTTTTCAGTTATTTTATGAAGATATTTTATTAAAATATTCATGATATTTCTACAGTAACTATATTCAAGCAATAATAATAATTTCTAATATTTTTTATCGGAAAATACAGTTTATCAGTATTCATAGAAATCATTAAGCTCATTTGTTAATGAAATGCTCACTTTAAAATAATAACTTAAACATAAAAATTATAACTGTGTTCACGCCAAACTTATTGAAGAAATAATATTCCAAAAGTGAGGGAAGCGTTATTCTTAAATGCACACTGATCGTTGCAAAACGTTAAGATCAGTGATAATAGTTGATTAATATAGTTGATTTATCTTCGGAGTATTAAACTCAAATTTAAGGTTTTAATAATTTGTTGAATAATAATTATATTTTATAGTATAAAGTTTTTTATGTATGTATTGAGGTTAATTGAGGTAAATGTATGAAACTTATAATTTTTCGATTCGTACATTATCGATTATATGTGTTCAATATACAAATGTTATTTAAAACGACTTTATGCGTGTTCTGTCTCGATGTATTTTTTAAACAATTTATAAATAATTATTAAATCCCAAGCATATTTTGTATTTTGGTAAATGCTTTATAGATTATTAATTAATTATTTTTAATTTTAATTAATTGTAAACCAATTAATAAAATTATTTTCAGTACACATATAATGTTGATCGTTAATTATTAAAACATGTCATTCTCTACCAATATAATATATTTCAGTATTATAACTACCCACTCGAAATAATGTCTAAGTAATAAATCAATTATACGCAATTCTTGGTTTTTTTTTTTTTTTTTAAAAAAAATATAGTAGGGTAAGGTATAGTAAGGTATTATTCTCCTAATCCGTCTTTGAACCCTTACATCATAAAATATGCACGTGAAAGTATTTTTGATTGACACATTATCACAAAAGATGCAATGTTTACATTGTAAAAACTGTTCGATTCGATGTGATTAATCATTCGACTGATTATGTATCTCTTCGTGTGTGTTTCGACGAATTCTCAGTCTTCGACAGACCGTTAAATAAAATACTTGTCTAAGGATATTATTATGGGTTTCGATCGATCCGCTCAAGTATTTACGGGGTGACCCGAGTGGAATTGCTGCTTAGCGCCGTTTTCTTTTCGGCACGACCCGAATTCCGATTATATATTACGCGTAGGAGGCGGTTGAGTGGGCTGTCCACGCGAAGGGTGTACCTACCTGAAATCTAGTGCCCGCAGTAATTTAATCACGAATCTAGCCCGCATTCGAACGGTATGCGATAGTGTTTCATTGTCCCGCGTATCACGACGTCCGGCGTCGGGTTTTCAAAAGTTTAAAAAGTACCCCGTGCACAAAACACGCAAAGCTGCACGCGGTACGTCGACACAACCCACCGTAATTTGGGGTGGGGGAAGTGGGGGGTAGGAAAAACCGTAAAAACTCACCATGATCCTGCGGACACGTTTAGAAGAGCATTGCACGTCGATATCGAACCGGGTCCGTGCGGCCCTCGCCGAGGGTAAAAGACTGTGGCGAAGGATACAACGAGCGACGAGTGAATTTACGTGAAAAGTTCGCGCGCGTTCCGCACACGAGCCGCACACGCACCGCACCAAAACTTCGCGCACGCGTCAACTGCACCGGACCGCGGACCGGCCGTATTGGAACTGGTTCGCGCGCGCCGTACCTACAGCCACTGGTCCGCGACGGCCGCGACGTGAACGGAAAGACCGCCGTGCGCCCTACTCCGCAGCCGCCAATATTATCGTAACGGTCCGTCCGGCGTATTATCGAGACGCAAAGAAAAGGAGAAGAAATCGTACTACAGAAATCGCATGCCGCGCCGAAACGTAACGACAAGGGCGTATTCAGGCTTACTTCTAGGAGGGGGGGGGTCGAGCGCGATTCAATTTTTTTCTTTAATTCAGGCTCAACATTTACAAGTCAAATTTTGGTAGTATTTAAATCGGGCGAATCCATAATATTTGTGGTTTTTTTTTTTTTGTGGGATTTAAGTAACAACAATCACTCACAATTTGATTTAATTAAAATAGGCACTATATTATAAAAATATGTATGTACAAATATCGATACGCGTTACAATTGCGGAGGAATTGCCGAATATATCGCGGAGTGTAATTCACGGAGTGTCACGGATTGTACTCACGGACTGATTGAATGAGCGTCTGACCAGCCGGTTTATATATATCGGCGTCGATAGTCTAAAACATTCTCGAAATTATCTTAACGAGATAATCATCGCATATTCTAGAACATGGGATTTCCCCTTATCCACTGACAATATTGTAAACAACTTGGACGATTCGCGGTGTGTTGTTTACATCACCACATCGCTCCCCTACCAGTGACGGAGTCAAGCAGAACCTACTTGGAGACGGTCTGGAAAACGAACTTTTCTTCCAGAACGTGTCCTTTGATCCTCCTTTTTAATGGTATTCAGTGTAGATGTCTGAATTTCTCTCGAAATATCTTCCTTAGAATGGTCGTCTACTATGATGTAGACCGGTTTCAGTCTATCAATAGTTACTCTAACTTTTTTCTTCTTTATATCAATGACAAAAGTTTTTTTATTTCGACTTATGACTCTATAGGGACCATCATAGGGCATTTGTATTCCATTTTTGGGTCCGTCATGTCGAATGAATACGTACTCTGTGGTTGCAAGGTCCTTGAAAACAAAGTTTTTCTTCTCGCCACGTCGTGTACCATTGACAGGTCGGATCTGCTGAATGTGATGTCGAAGATCTTTGATAAACTCAGCTGCGTCGTCAAACTTGGCAGCATTATCTTTTGACGTTAGGAATTCACCAGGGAGTCTAAGTGGCTCTCCATAGACTAATTCTGCAGAGGTGGATTTAAGATCGTCGCGCTAAGCTGCTCGGATGCCCAATAAGACTGTCGGAAGAGTTTCTGTCCATCGATTATTTTGATGACATTTAATGGCGACTTTAAGCTGCCGATGGCTTCGTTCCACCATGCCATTTGCTGACGGATGATAGGCCGGTATATAACATATATATCGGCGTCGATTGTCTAGAACATTCTCGAAATTACCTTAACGAGATAATCATCGCATATTCTAGAACATGGAATTTCCCCTTATCCACTGACAATATTGTAAACAACTTGGACGATTCGCGGTGCGTTGTTTACGTCACCACATTTTTTTTAATCTAATGTTGGATCCACTTAGAATCGACTTTTGTGTAGTTATTTTTTAACACCTGTCTGTGTTCTGAAAGTTATCCTTATGTTTTGATTTTTCACTTCTCTTTTTCACACTCGCTCTCTCTTAAAATACGCCCCTGCGTTACGACGTATTGTTACGCCATATCGTTTCCCACACGTTTACGCGAAACCGACCCTCGACGGCGTTTTGAATACGCTGTCGTCTGTTCAGACCTTTGTTCCGAAAATGGTACCGCCAAAAAGCCCGATCGATTTCTGACGGTTTGTTGTGACCTGATGTACCAGAAACGATGGACGTCGGAACAATGGGGGCAACGGGGGCAACTGCCCCCATGGGAAAAATTCCGCGAGGGTATATATTAATTTTCATGTTTTGAATGCAGAAACAAAACTTAAATACATTTAATAAACGGTTTGTTTTTAAACGTTAACATACACATACAGTGAACTGTTATAATTTTACTTAGAAATAATTTAGCACGTACTATATATGGCGTAGGTAAGAGGGGGTTGGGTATTCAAATACCCTCCGAAATTAAATAAAACAATTTTGAGCTTTTCGTGAATTTGTTTGAAAGTATTATTAACTTGCATATTATGTACTAGGTATAATATTTATTACGGCTTCAAAAACTTTAACTAATGTAGGTGGCGCAATAAGTGTACCATGATTTTCAAAATAACAAATTAATTGAGACAATTATAAAGATACTACGCTGGAAGAATATTATAGAAAAACACTTTTTATACCATTTCTTGATCATTCTATAACACATTTGAAAAGTAAGTTTGAACAGCATTATGATTTAATTTTATCTTTTAAAAATATTATGACGAATAAAGTTGTTTTTACAAATGAGAAAGATGTTATTAATTTATGGAATTTTTACAAGAAAAAACTTTCGGACCATAAACAGTTTAATTCAGAATATTTATTGTGGAAATCTAAATAGGCGAGGGAAAAAGAAGAATGTAGACCATCCTCGGCGAAAGATTTTTAAAATGTGATTCTGAATTTTTTCCAAATATAAAACAATTGTAACTATTATTTCTATACTTTCCGTATCAACTACTACTTCAGAAAGAACTATTTCAATATTGCGACGTATTAAATCATATTTGAGAAATTCGGCAAGAAATGAACGGATTAACTGGGCTTACTTTGTTAAGCGTTCATCGTGAAATTAATATTGACCCGGAAGAAGTAATCAATATGTTTAAGCTTCAACCAAGAAAATAAGATTTTATAATTTTTCTTATATTTTTAAATTTGTAATTTTTATGTAAAAAATATTGTATTAGTAATCAATTGTATTAAATAAATAATTCATATTTAATTTTAATGTTTTATAATATTAATATAGATCTAGATCAAAACTCCCTCCAAAAATATTTCCTACCTTCGCCCATGGTACTATGTACGTAGTAGTTAATATTTTATGTATAGTACATGAGATATGTATAAAAGATATAAAATAATAAGATGATATGGAGACAATTACCTCTTGTTTATAAAATGGAAACGATTTAATAATAAACTGCAACACCCAAAATACGAGTAGAATAGCTTTCATAATAGGAAATCCATTATCGTGACTGTACAATAGATTTGTAATTAAATTTATTTCGAGAATCATTTGGTTACTAACAACCGATGTGATTGGTCACAGTCGTTATAATAATATACATTCCTTTGTGTTTGCAGCTGTGCTTAACCCCCGCGGTTCAAAAATTGTTCCGGCGCCGCTGACCGGAACAATAAGACGTATTTAGCATGTTGGTGATATCGTAACTTATGAATGTCGGCGAACGAACGTCACTGGGGAAAATATTTAATTTTTTTCCCAATGTCATAAGATTATACATCACGAAAATCAGGGACGTGCGATCGCGCTCATTCATTCCATTCACTCCGAATGGCGTTCCAGTCGATGCTATCGCAGCGCTCGAACATTATCTTGCTAGTAGCTCCGATTCAGACATGAATTACAAAAAAAGTATCGGCTACTGTTTCTGACTCAGCTCTTTCAATATAAAAAAAAAATCCTACCTTGTGTAACGTTCACATTTTTTTTCTTTGTCAAATATCGAACCATCGTTAAGGTTTGAAAGAAATGCAAACAACGTGTTTGAGAGTTCTATACTACAACCGAGTCTCGTTCAAGCATTTCGAAGGAAATACGAAATCCGTACGGTGTACAGTTTTCACCTTTGTGGTAAGCTTCTACTACGTGGTGTGTATCTTTGTTCGGGCGATCGGGAACTTCGAAAAAGTCTTCTTTATTCGGTTTATGTTTACCGTTGTTGTTGATCATTCGTCCGACGGTTTGTTTTTATCAAGCGCAAACATTTTAAAATCAGAGCACTTTATACTGTATGGAAACGATTTTTCGTGTATTTTATAAAATACAATTGATTTTCGTGAACACAATATTTATTCATTTTATTTATAAATTGAATTGAATTGAAAATGCGCGTGTCGTTTGGATTATTTTACTATTGCCAGTACATCGCCAACACTTAATAGAACAAATTCCATAGATTTTGTTGTTACAGTCACGATCATTGGTTTTAACCAATACTACAACTTTACTTCGGAAGATATGACGCGATATCATAAGAATCGATTGTTATAGACGACATTGCGTTGTAAGTGACGCACTTAACACATATATAGTGGAGAGTCGGCGAGTCTGGTACCGACCCGAGTTCATAATGTCAATATGTCCGCCGGTTGAATAATATATAATATTCCTATTGGCTGCATCGCAGTGCGTAAGAAATCGCGATCGATACCTAACGGCAGTGATCTCTGTACACATTCAATAATTATTATAAAATTCAATATGTAAGTTCCGAATGATCAGACGAATGGTATTGTAGCGCAGACCAATACTATCGACAATTTCAATAATATTGTCATAAATTAATAGTATGTTGTACCGGAGCGGTCTGTCAATCGTCAATAATTTACGGGTACTGCAAATTAGTAACGATGAAATCGCACAAAACCGTTTTCATCTCTTTTCTCTCCCCGCCAACCGGAAATATTATAATTTATAATATTATCCGGTACACGAATAAGGTTTACTAAGGCGACCGTGTAACTGTTAATATATAACAATGATATCGTTCACCTCATAATCAGCTGCACATATCATGAGTACCGTCCGGTGTCCATTGTTACTGGGTAGGCGAATGATTAATAAATAAATCATCTTTTAAAGCCAACATTTTATGCAAACATAATTTATTTGAAATTATTACTAATGTTATTATTTTACTATCAACTTATTACTAACTAGTCTTGGTATCATATGTTCTATGTAATCATTATATACTACTTAAAAATCAATGTAAATACGTGATGAGTAACATACTTGTATTATAAATAATATCTTTACATCATTTTACAGATTTTTATTCACTAATCAAAAACTGATACTGTCCCGGAAAGTATATTATATATATACACACACACATACACACAAGCTTATATTTATCAGTTTTTGTTCCCTACTAAATGTTTAAAATTTAGTACTTCACGATTATATTAATATTTGTAAATCATATTTCGTGTTTTTTGAAACACTTTTAAATATTATTTAAGCCTTAAAATGGAGTAGTACCTAAAAATATTAAATAATTATTGTAAAACTAAAATCGTATTAACATTGTAATTCAAAATCAAAAACTTGAAATTATTTACATTATGACATTAAAAAAAAAAAAGTTAATAATACAAAATATCTTATGATCTTAAAAAGAAAAATTTTAATTTAATGCAGTAATTTTAATTCTAATTATTTAATCTTATATTACTTATAGTTGCAAGACACGAAAATAAAACATAATATTTAAGTACGTATAGAATTTATAATATATATTATTTATATTAACCAAAATCAGTTAGATGAACTTATATGTGATTGTATATAACCGATACAATCCAAATCATTTAAATTTCAACTTTTTAAGGTTTAAGATATTAACATCGATTTAATGTTAAATTTAATCTATGGTATTATTGAATAATTGAAACATTATAGGTTTTCGAGGCATTATTTATTATTTAAAATTTAAATACAAATGTATTTAATAAAATTATTTCACACCTGTGTTGCAAGATTATAGATTCACGATAAGAGTATTTAATAAAAATACAAATATAAAAGTAATAAAAATGCTACGAAATGGTTCCTACTACATTCAAAATTTAAATATTATCAGTAATTAATTACCGTTTTTACATAATTTAAAAAATTTAAAATAGCGTACTTTATAATTAATAAGAAATCAATTTTGAGTATCATATTGAAATATCAACATTTTGAATTTTTATTCTTAACTATAACCCCTATTGTATTTATACATTTTCTGAGTCGAGTTTTCAGAATATTGTAGAAATTTATTAGGTTAGTAAATTTAATTCGTTTATAGTTTTCACCAGCAGTTATTCAAATATAAGTTTAGGCACATTCAAAAATGTTACGTAATAATAAAACACAATGTATTTTATATTCAAATGTAAGCATTATATATATATATATATATATATTATATTTTATATACAAAATATTATCAATAATAGTAATCTTATGTAAATTCGTATTTATACTTTGTTACATTTTTATATACTTTATTTACATATGTATTTATTAACATTTGACGATTATAATTTATAATATTTATTATTAAATAATATTTATTATTCATCTATAAATATTCTTCTGATACTAAATAAAATGGTAATATTTTAATTAATTTACGAATTGTATCTTCTACCTGTGTCTGTGACTCTCTTCATTGTGTTCTATTTTATACTTTGGTAATACATCAAATTTCGGTGCTATAATATTTGAAAGTATTTTTGACAAATACACCAACACAATTATAAATAAAAACCATTGACTCGATACATTTTAATGAAAACAGAAACAAATATTATATTTGTAGGTCCAACTACACTTTACATAGCTGTTTCAACAAGTTTTAATTGTTTTAATTAATGTATTAATTAGTATATATGCCAGTGATACTTGACTGAAGTACATCTGTTATTAATATTCCGAGCTTGGGTTGAACTTCATTTTCCAATATTTATTTGAAAGCAATTAAACTTGGAATAAATAAAAATAAAATATGAAAATATATTCTTTGCTGGCACCTATATCATAGAATAAACTTAAACGCATAATGGTACTATCACAATTGAATTTTCGTAAGAATTTTTAATGATGGCGTTGGCGCGATTCGGCGGGCGTTGTTGCAAATATATAGTTTGGTATGTGCGTTTGAAATATTACGTTGTAAATTATATCGAAAAGTAATAAC